TACAAATATGATTTAGTGTCATAATAATAAACAGCTCTAAACCTTCCCTCTGGATAGACCGAAGGCAACTAATTTATGCACTGATTGCTATTTAACTGATATTAATAGTCCTGCATGTGCATGACATTCTAAAAATTACACTGAAAAACAACACTTTACAATAATATCCCATCAGGTAATGATATTTAGTGCATATATGAACTAACACTGAGCAATACATTTGTGACAGTATTTATTATTCATTGGGTTGATTCATATTCATTTTAGTTCATGTTTGGTCCATTGAATAATATTAACAGATACAACGTTTGATCTTAACCCCTTAAGTGTCACGGGCCCACCGGTGGGCCCAAATCCTTTACATTTTTAAAACAGTAATATCCTATACTAAACCTAAACTAATCTTGACAAACTATATATCATTTGAAAGCTTACAATCTCTAGTTTCCATATTTGGTGATTGATTTTCAAAATAAATTACAGAGGAGCCGTAATTTATCAATTTGCAACAATAATATTTTCATACTCTTAGACCTTTATTTTGAAATAGTGATGAACATGAAAAATCATGAAAGAAGGGTAGAAACCTCAGTTTGTTTTCATGCCAAGAGTTCAAAAGATGGCATCCATTCAATTATTTAAAAAAAAAAGGTCTGAATTTTTTTTTTTATATAAAGAAAAAAATTATATGATGTGGCAGGAAGCTAAAACGCACATGCGTGTTCTTTTTATGTTTCTTAGAGGTTGAAATCATATCAAAATCTGCCAAACTTCTCATATTACTTCTGAATAGGATGTCTACTTCATAAATTGTATGAAAATTGTGGAAATAATGGTTCATATCACTCAAAACACATATGGAAATGGAGGCGCCCTTATATGGGCAGTAATGGAGTCTGGTTGTCATCTAGTGAAAAAGTTTGGTACTGCGCCCAAACAAAATCTTACTGAAAGCTCATTTTTTGAGATATCAACCTAAAATTTGAAACACAACTTGTTCAGATTTTTGGCTTTGATTTTTTTGCAGTTTTAGAGTCGCCCAGGTTTTGAAAATATGTATTTTATATAAAATATCAATAATTAATTTTTTTTACATTGTGCATTTTCATAAACTCAAACTTCTATAACTTTTTTTCTGTTTCACTTTCTTAATTTATTTCACTTCTACAAAAATCTGCCAAATGTCTTCTTTAAAACAAGACCAATCTTACGTCTATATTCCAAAGCATTCTTGAATTACAACCATTTAAGTTCGAAATGTGCATTTTCATGTATATTCAAAAAAAGGGGGGTGACACTTAAAGGGTTTTAATAATGTATTAGTAAATGTAGAAATTAACATTAACTTAGATTAATATTAGTTTCATTGTTAGTTCATGTTAACTAATGTTAACAAATGGAACCTTATTGCAAAGTCTTACCAAGAAAAATCACTGAAAAATTAATTTGACCAAAATCAAAGAGGACAGACATGGAGAGCTCTTTTCCACAAGCCAAGACTAATTGTATGTAAGACTAACAAGCTGCCAAGATCAGGACAAAAGGTACTGAGATCCAGACCGAGTCCATATTTATGAGGTTTTGAGGGTTTGTCTCAAGAGCACACAGTCAAGACTCCAGCTATTGCTAAATACACAGTGGAATAACTACATGTCATATTTCTATTTGGGTTCTCTGACACAGATCAGGATTTTAGATCATAGCAAAGTTATTTGAGATTGATAAGTCAACATTTTCTCTGAGCTCCTGGGCAGCCAGCCAGTTCTCACTTGTCACAAGCCTTAATTTAGCTTGCCTCTGGTAGCATATACCTGATAGTGGAGACTTCAGCTATCTGTAAGAGATACAGAGGAAATACAGGAAATGGATATGTTAATTTTCCTTGAAAATATACTGTACTTGAATCCTTTAACAACAATATTGTATTCATTTTGATTGCAGCTAAAAACTATAAGAATATTATAATCAGTATAAGATGATTGTTTCAGGGCATTTAAAGTGTCTTGGTGTGTTTTGAATAACACAAATCACTCTGATAAATTAGCAAAGGTATAACTATAGACTTGTTGTGCTATAGATGTCAGGGTCGGAAACATTGGAGCATGCTTGAGTGAATTGTTATGTTGCATATTTCAGCAACTGTGAAAGAAATACAAGTGTTTCAAGTGCTACCATTTCTCTTTCAAACCAACTGTATACTTTCCATCCTGCCCAGTGTCCTGCTGCGATCTGCACCTGTTCCTGTAGCAGAGTAAATGCCCAGCTAGGCCAACAGCTGACTTGTTGAGAGAGGGAGCGAGGCAGACAAGAAAACAGACAAAGAGAAGAAGAAATACATCTAAATGACATTTCACATCATTTTTTTTCCCCCGTGATGGCCAACCAATAAACCTGACATTAATCTTTGGGTGTTTTTCTTTACATAATCCATTAAGTCAAGCAAAAGAGCAAAAAGATGATGCACAGTCAGTGGCTCCATAATTTGTCCATCCAGTTTAATAGTCCCTAAAAATACCCAGAGTATTTATGGGAGTCATTTTTCCACATTAAATCCAGTATTAAATAAAAATTCACCCTATTTATTTTCTAAATGCATCTTCTTGATCTTTTTGTGAATGATTCATCCATCAAAATGTCACAACTATCTTCTGGTTAAATGACATTTTCTCTGGTGATGTATGCCAGACTTCTCCAATCATTTCGCACCTAAACCCCGCCCCCTTTCTTACAGACTCGCATTAAGATCAGCAAACGATGGACAGAACAAAGTTTTTCTTTTTTCAATAATCTTTTTCACTAGGATGCGTCACAAAATGGAAGAAAGATCTGTCGCCACTTCCTTTTCATTGTGACTTTAAACATTGTCTTGCAACAACAAAAATATAACAAAGTTTCTCTAAAAGACAAGGAATGCCTAAATGAAGACTAAAATCATTCCCAACATTTGAACAGTGGATGTTAATCAGGGTTTTGATGCTGTGTAAACAAATGAAAATCGTTGCTTCTTTTTTACTGCTGCTGGATCTGTTCTAATATCCACCATAATAATCCATTTCAAAGGGCAGCTGGCCAATAAGTGTCATGGTTCACAAGTTGAGGAAGTGCCAGACTGCCTCCGCTTCACCTGTACAGAGAAGTCTTGCGCCGTTCAACACACTTGGAGCAATGAGCTATTTATATCACCTCTATTCCAGTGTTTAACAAGCCTTTTCTCCATCTTAATGTCTTAATTGTTGTGAATTTCACCTGAACAAACAGTACCAAAATGGACAATATAAAAAAATGACATGAATGAATGAAAATAATGAAATAAATGAATATAGCAGTGAGAGAACCAGTGAGTTTTAGCAAGCTAGCTGTCTCCATTGCTCTGATCTCTGCCCACAGGTGGGACACTATTTCGGGCTGTCCCTTGTTTTCTCCACTGCATGGTCTTCCTGTTGGGCATAGCACTTAAGCCTTGAATTGAAGAAAATATCATTTTAGATATAGACTTTTAGAGGTTTTTAACAGTATTTAAAAAGGTTCATCTTTATCAAATGGAGCCAGAACTATACAGTAATTATGGTCTACCTATTTTTATTTATTTTCTCTTTCATGGTGTGCTCTTGCATGACTCTGCAAACATCTCATGCAAGCGTCCTCCTAAAGCTTTTGGATGCTACTCAAAGCTGCTGGTTAAACCCTTTTAACTCAGAGTATAAGTCTTCCAGTACCGATGGTGTTGCAGTCTGAAGGGAGAGAGATGCATGCTGGGTATGAGCTCAAGTTACAGATGGCAGTGCTGTCCTTCAGGCTGAGGGGGGTTTCCAGCTCATTTGGGATACACTTGCTGAAAGAATCATTTAATAACATCAAAATGGACAATATTTAGCATCTAAAAATGTACACACAAAAAAAACTTCCTGTTCATACTGCATCCAAAGTGTGTTCATTGTATATTATATTTATCTGTACTTTCTATATTTAATTATGTTTGTTATACACCAACTTTGCTTGAATTCGAGTGATCCATTGAGATATCTGGGTTATCACACACCTCTGTGACTGTGATAAGTGGGTCAGAACTGACTGGACAAACCACAGACCCTCAAGATAAAGCCTACTGGCTCCAACATCCAACAATAGCTTTCCATGTAAACACACTGATGCTTGCGTGGAAAATATTAATGAAAACAAACATATCTGATAGGTGCTTACATAAAATGTCTATATAAACCCATCTTCAATGTGGATGATTGCAATACACTGCAAAGGAAAAAGAATGCTATGCTGAAAAAAGGGAAGGTAAATAATGTCAAATTAAAATTTCCTTTGCAATGGAAATGGAAAAGGTGAATTACCATATTTACATGCATTATTCCATTTAACATTAATTTACAGTATTAGTAAAATCGTTTTTAAAGTGTAGCCTATTTATAATTTACGTTTTATATTCACAAAAGTTCCTCCATGGTGCATTATTTAAATATTTATTTATTTAAATGTTAAAAAAGTATACATTAGGCCTATACACATTTAACATACATTAGGGGTGGTTATGTTACATTTTATTTATAGCATTATTTTAATGTCATGTTACTGTCTATTAGATTCATGGAAAGAACATTATTTCATCACTTGACCTAATTTAACACTTTCAAAATTATGGCCTATATGGTAGCCTATACAAAGTGTACATTAGTAAAATATACAAAAAAAACGTATCAACGAATTAAACGCTGAAAATGTTTTAGAGTGTTTAGGCTGCTATTAAAATGATTGAATAAACAAATGACTAATAACTTACAGCTAAATCGTGTCGTTAACAAACTGAATATAACGATCATAGTGACAAAACAATTATAAATTCGTGTAAAAGAGCCTCAGACTGGAAGATAAGGAGACATATGTGAAGCGACAGCTGAGGCCGTCAGCCGGTGGCGCGTGTGGAATGCGGTAGATGGAGAGGGGCACGGGTATTTTTATGGATAGCGCCCACCGATAACCGACTGCGCTCATTTGACTCTCAGTCGCATGGGAAGAGAAGACTAAACCTGTGCTTGGGGATTTAGATTTGATTTTAGCATTAGCCAACGTGAACTAAAAAAAAAAAAAAAAAATCTTATGAAAAACAAAGGGAGATTATCACTCTAAAGAAGGTAAGATATTTTTAATTTATCGTTTAAAGTATGAATAATTTAATAAAGCATGTGGAGGACAAAAAAATTCCAACCGGCAAGTCCACAAGCGGAAGAGGGCCTGATCTCATATCTTTGTACTCACAGAGAGGAATACAGTTGACTCCTTCGAAAGGACTATTTTTATTTCATTAGATCATTTCAAATTACTTTAATCTAAAGGAGGAAGAGGCTCAAGGTTATAAACAGAAAAACAACTGTAAAAAGCTAAAGATCTTTATAGAAACTATGTGGAGAACATTATCTCTGAGAACTTTTAATAAACTGTTTGCCAGAGGAAAAAGATAGCCTATATTCAAGTATGTTGAATACCTTAACTAAAATAAAATATTGACATTCTTTTACACACTTTTTTTTGGGGGAATATTTAGTGTTTAGCTAAATGCTATTAAATAGATATACAATCTATAATCTATAAATATACAACATTTTAGAAAACATTTATTCTCAGCATCCAACTCTAAAACCTTTCTTAAATGTAAAGAATCTAACTACTAATAAAGATAGCAGTCTATCAGTGTTATCATATTTTTGTGAGGAATGGATTTAAGATTAAAGACATTATAAAGATTAGTGCACAGCATAAATTCTTTTTTTTTAAAAACATGAATTTGAAATGTGGCGGGAACAAATGCTTTCAAATGGTGACATGTTTGGGGGCCATATTGTCTTTGATATCTTCTAAAAGCGAGGTGTGATCAGTTGTGAGTTCACCAAAACACCAGTTGTGAGGTGTTGTGTCATTTATGAATAGCAAAGGAGAGTGACTGCATTGAAATTGAGATCTTTACAGTTATATAATATTACTCACGCGAGTCATTTGTAAAATTGTGTTTTTCTGTGCTGCATGGGTTACAATGTTGCTGTTTTTGTGGGATTATTTGGATTAAGGATGTCAGATGTAGAACATGTGAACTGCAAAGATACAATTTAAAAATGCACAAAAAGATACAATAGTATAAACACACTCACAAATACATAGGCCTACATATTATTTTTCCAAACCGGCTTTGTACTTTCACACTGTAGGAGACACAACATTGTATAAAGAAACATCTAGAACTTAGTCATTTAGTCAGGGGTCTCATGTGTGCCATCTGGGTGCTGACCTCTTCTTAGACTCATATCTCCAGGTAAAAATAGCCTCAATCACATGGCTGAACCCAGACTGGGGGATAAAATTAGGGCCTGCAAGGCTCCTGGTGGAGGTCCCACACACGTTCAGCTCATCTGTTCTTTTCTAGACCACCAACTAACACTTCCAAGACATTTCTTTACCTTTTTTTAAAGAAAACAACATCAATTCTAAAATTTAAAATAATATGCAGTGTGTAATATTCACATTCAATTCAATTCACATTTATTTGTATACCGCTTTACCCAATACATATATTTTCAAAGCAGCTTTACAGAAAATGCATTTGTCTACATCACAATTTATATAGTACAGCTGTTTGTGAATGTAAAAAGTCTGCAGTTTTAAAGATCAAAGTGCATGACAAATAAAGTTGTCTCCTAAAAGAAATCGATTTTGAACTGCTGAAATGAGCTATCAGCAATTCCAGTCTCACTTCCTCATACCTATGTAACAATGTAACAAATTTGCATAATGCCAGCTCATTGGCTGCCTGCGAACAAAGTCTACTTTGACCCGCCCTCAAACACTGTAGATGTCTGAAGCCTGGAAGAGTTTCGTTCGTGTTGTTGACAGGTCGTGAAGACGCTGTTTTCTGCGCTGTGAATCCACTTTGCACGCACTTCAAAAGGATGAGGACTTGCACTGGAATTGATACAGAAAAACCGATGCCATCATTCCTCTTCACCAGTGGCGGGGAAAGTTACTTTGAAAAGTAATGCATTACAATATTGCATTACTCCCTTAAAAAGTAACTAATTGTGTAACTTTGTTAACTCACCTGGGCTGGGCTTGTTTTTTAATAACAAAAAAGTTCTATTTTGGGGCAAATGTAAAAGCCCTTTCACACCAAAATTGAAATAATAAGCCTGAGGCAGCTCAAACAAACCTTTCAGCTGTGCTGCCATTCTGGATTGCAGAAGAATATGATGCAGGCGAAAACAGTTTTACACTTACTTCACTAATAAAAACAAATGCTCACATTTAGTCTGGAACTATAATAACAATCATGTTTACACACAACGCTTCTACAATTACTCCCGATTTTTCTCAACATGGGGACAAGAGAGAAAAAAAACTTGCATTACTTATTTGAAATAACAAGTATAAGATATTTTGTTGTAAATTTAAAAGTAATGTGTTTACTAAAAACGTAAAGAGTTACTTGAAAAAAGTAATTTGATTACATAACTTGAGTTACTTGTAATGCATTACCTTCAATGCTCTTCATATCATTGTGTATAAAACACTGAAGAAGCCTCCGGAGCCGAAATTCAGATATGGTAATTGTTGTTTCGTTTCTGACACGTGCTGTAATAGGTAGACCAATCACAAGAGACTTTGCTGTCTGACCAATCAGAGCAGGTTCACGGAAAGGAGGGGTTAACTTTAGAGAGACAATATTCGAACAAACCGTTTTCAGACTCTTTGAGAAATGAGGTGATGTGCAACATATATTATAAGAAAACGTTTTTTGACCTTGGATGCATGTAAATCTATTTTAAAAGACCTCCAAAACAAAATTAGGAACCTTTAAAATAGCAGTCTTGTGGTCATTATGTCTTTCTCCCAATGTCAGCTTCATCTGACGTATCTTGCAACAGGCCCTGTCCCGGTGTGTTTGAGAAACAGCAACATGACTGAAGTGATGAGCATGGCGGATGTGTCAACAGACATGACGCATATAAACAACACGGAAAACTTGAACGATATTGCTGATGCTAATGATACAGAGAACACAATCAATGATGAAAACCATAAAGAGGAAACACATGACATGAGTTGCATGACTGAAGAGGTGGAAATGAACAGTGCTGCAGACGAACCAAAGGAGACCGAGTTACCAGAGAAGGAAGAGCCCAAACAGGAGACAAAGACCACCAGCAGGGCGAGAAAACGAGAGAGGGTTCCAAAATCGAATGAGGAAAACGTGGAGAATGACGAAGAGGCCGATGCATCACATAATACAGATATGACAAATTTTTCAGATGTGGCACTAAAACAAGAGGTATAGTATGATGGAACTATAATAATATGCTTAAATGAATCAATATTTTCAAAAATACAAATAAAATGAAATACAAAATTTCTAAAATTAACACACGCATATATACAGTTCTGCTCATAAGTTTGCATACCTCTTACAGAATATGCAAGATGTTAATAAGATTAACAAAATAAGAGGGATCACAAAAATCGCATGTTACTGTCCTGAATAAGCTGTTTCACATAACAGATGTTGACATATAGTCCACTATACAAAATAATAACTGAATTTACACAAATGAACCAGTTTAAAAGTTTACATACCCTTGAAACTTAATATTGTGTGTTGTTACCTGATAATCAACGACTGATTTTTATATTTTGTGATAGTTGTTCATGAGTCCCTTGTTAGTCCTCAGCAGTTAAACTGCCCTGTTCTTCAGAAAGATCCTCCAGGTCCCTGCACATTCTTAGGTTTCTAGCATCTTCTGCATATTTGAACCATTTTTAACAGTGACTATGATTTTGAGATCCATCTTCTCACTGAGGACAATTGAGGGACTCATGGACAACTGTTACAAAAAGTGAAAACATTCCTCAAGATGGCAACGAAATCCATTAGGACCAGCAGGTTGAACATTTAATTATTTTTTAAAGACTTTTTTTTTTTTCATTTAGCACTGCCCTTTAGAAGCTACATGAGATGTTTCTCTTAAGACAAAATAAGTACAATTTATTCCGATCATCCAATTTAGCCCACCAGCTCTTAAAGGTGCAGTATGTAGATTTTAGCGGCATCTAGCGGTTCGGTTGCGAGTTGCACTAAGGGCTCAGCCCACTGCTCACCCCTCCCTTTCGAAGAAGCTACGGTTGCTAAAACGGGACAAACATACCGTCGTCTGAGACAGCAGAGAATAGCCAGAGTAAGCCAAGTTTCTGTACCACAGTCCATTATAAACCACATCATGGATAAAGTTTACAAAGCCATAGTCAGGTGAGGATCAAGGGTCTTAATATATAATATAATAATAGTAATCAGCTGATTGTCTCGCGAACGTAACCAGCTCATTTCTCCCCACATAGCAAACCCATACAGCGAGGGAGAAGAACCACATGAAACTATCCAATTACATATTTTTTCTAACAGGGTAGTAAAAGTTTAGCTGGCTAATATGAGCTGTTATGCTGTAGGGGTGTGGCTAAAGCGTAAAACATTGTTTATACTTGACGCGTCCGCATGAGCCCAAAGGTGCGCACAGCAAAAATGACGTGATTGTAACAGCGCGCGCGCCTCCGCATCCCCTAGACACCATTTACTACACACAAATTAATAAATAATAATGAATAAAAATATTGTTTTTTTTCTCTGGTTTTGAAAGCTCTTCGCGATCGACTTAAAATGCTTCCAAGATCGACTTGTTGACCGCGATCGACGGGTTGGTGACTCCTGTAACGTTACTGTTTTACGGTCAATAGTACTAATCAGCTGATTCTCAAAGCCATAACACAGCGAGGGAGAAGAACTAAGTTACATGAAACAATCCAACTACATATTTTACACCACTGACAAGGGAAAAGTCACTACTCACGGTGTCTATGGCTATAGCTTCTAGCTTTCTGCGGCTTCTCTTTCAAGGTAGTGACGAAACGCGCTCTGTAGCGCTGTTTGTTCGCTGTCGGCTACGGTAGAAACATGACGTCACAATATGTCGACCTTCATAGAAGGGGGTGCCCGCGGTTATGTAGATATAAATGTCTCATTCTAAGGTAATAAAAACATTACAGTTCAATGAGTAAGGTCTTTATACACCACTGAACACATAGTTATGGATCTTTTATTGCATTTCTGTCAATAGATCCTCAGAAATATTACACATTGCACCTTTAATGCATATTCTGTAAGGGGTATGAGCAGAACTGTGTATATATTTTTATTTAAAAAAAACAATTAGGCCTATACATAATTATGGAAATAGATATCAACTGTATATATAACTAATATGCTAATTTATAAAATGGAAAAGTAACCAACTATAATATTTGTCATTTGTAATCATATAATCATTACTTTCTGCAGAAGAAAATATTATCAAAAATGAAAATTAACTAATTTTCCATTCCTCTTTTACTCACAATCTCTCATACCTCGTTTTTCTTTCTTCTGAAGAAACTGCTTAAAACATCTAAGCCTGTACAGAGAAGTTATGTTCCCAAGGTGGGGAAAGAAGATGTGAAGAATAAGTTTGAGGCCATGCAGAAAGCTAGAGAAGAGAGAAACCAAAAGAGAAGTCAGGAAGAGCAAAAGAAACGCAGAGATCAGTACGTTAAAGAGAGAGAGTACAGTCGCAGGAAGCAAATGGTCAGTAGAGAAACCTGCCCATCGGCACCTTGTTTTGTCACTTCATCCACTGACTGCACTGCCTCATCTCTCTGACACTAACAATGCATATTAGAAGATTTTGTCTTGAGGTTAATGAAGATACTGCTTGCTGGGTATTCAATGTTTGCATAAGATTAGGCATGCATCAATACCCGATTCCAGGTATTTAAAAGGATATGCACAAACCTTCTTACAAAAAAGCTTTTAATCAGTAAAACACCCCAGTATCTGATGCCTGCTTGCTGCATGCACACTCTACTGATCCCCTGCCCATGTCACAATTGACGGCCCAATCAGCATCCGCCCCTGTAGGTCATATGTGCCTGTCTTACAAGGATTAAGGTCTGCTTGGCTTGCTATGACCAGCATGGTTTCTGATCCTGGATAAAACGCCTAACCTAACAACAACTGTCGGATCCTCCACAGATAAAAGAACTCCTCGCCTCTAGCGATGAAGAGGAAGAGGTGAAGCCGACGAAGATAGAAAAATCATATGTTCCCAAGATTACAGGTAGGGTGAAATGAGACAAATGAAGGGATTTGTATTTTTGATTTTTTTTTTTTTTGGACTGAACCAATGTAATCATTGTAACAGCGCTTTAATCCCATAATAGACGCCAACTGTCGGCTTTCTGTCCATTCACAGGCAGTGTGAAGGGGAAGTTTGCAGAGATGGAGAAACAGAGGCAGGAGGTGGAGAGGAAAAGAACAGATGAGGAGAGAAAGAAGCGAGCTGCACAGGAGGCCATAGAGAAGGCCAAGATTCAGAAGGAGCTGGCCAAGAAAGCTGAGGAGGTGAGTCAGTGTGTCATGAGAACAGGCTGTGGCTGGGAAGATGCCTTTAATGCGACTTGGCAGTCGGCTGCTTTGTCAGGTCTACTATTAGAAAATCTCCAGCAAAGTATCTGTAATCACTCAGGTAATCCTCTGATATAATCTAAACATCTATTTTAAATCCTAGCAATATTAGTGAAATCAAATCATGGAATGGATTGATATTGAACAATGTGTTGCATTGCAATAGTAACAGGCAAGGTAAGACATTCTTTTACCAACCAAAGTTAAATACTATTATTAATACAGTGGACACATTACTATGTAAAGTCTAATTAAATAATTATATAATAATGATTTTAATGCAAACATATATATCTAATTATATATATTTTTTATTTTAATTGTTTAAATATATATTCAATTTAAATATTGTGTTTTATATACTGTATTTCATGTCTATCTATCTAGATTTTAAACATATACTTAAATTGTAATAACATTTCATAATATGAGTGTATTTACTGTCTTGTCAAATAAATGCAGCCTTAGTAAGCATAAGAGACTTCTTTCAAAAACAAAAACAAATTCTTAGTGACCCAAAATTTTGAACAGTATAATATAAAAATTGCACAATGATATGTGAAATGTGTGCAATATGGCCAAATGGCCCACTGTCAATTACAAAGGCATGTCAGTTCATATACAACATGGCACTGGGTGTTAAATTTAGGAAAATGCCACACTTTCTGGAGCCAGAGTTAACAAGCATGGACAACATGTGACTGGCAACTGTTTCCCACAGCACTTGCAGGCCGTGCTCTCTGACTGAATTAGCAGTCCCATATCTCTGTCTAGTATGACACAAATGAAGGCAACTGTGCCAGAAGAGTTTTTTGTTGTTGCTGTCAGGCCTTATCTGAAACCTGTCTGGATGCTTGTCCATGACAGCAGAAATGTTGCAGGTCAAAGCATAAAAAAACAATTTGTTATTGATTTAGATTAGACTTCACATTTGTTTCTGATTTTCAAAAAAAATCTTTAAAAGCAAAACAGGAAGTTAACATTTCATCATACCCTTATAATTCCGATGTTAAAACTGCTATTTAATCTGTTTGGGAAACTTCTTCACTTCTTCATCACAGGAAGGTGATGACAGTATTTTGGTTCGAGTAGTGCCTGCAAAATCACAGAAACAACCAGGAAGGATCAAGGTCAATTTTGAGGACATGGAGAAGAGCCGAGAAGAGGAACTAAAGAAGCGAACTGAGGAGGAGAAGAAGAAGAGATACGATGAGAACCGGCAGTCCTTCCGAGAGGCCAAGCGTCGCTCTATGGTTGAACAGGTGAAGGTTCTGCTTTTAACGATCAATATAATCTGTAAAAGAAAGAAAAGTTTTGTTAATTTTGGATATATATATATTTTTTTTTTCTTTAAAAAAGTTGGACGATGAAGAGTTTCATCCCAAAGAGAAGGAGCAGATGACCCCTGGTAAACTGCGTCTGACCTTTGAAGAACAGGAGAAAGAGCGACAGGAGCAGCAGAGAAAACAGGCAGAGGACGAAGCCCGACGCAGACTGGAGGAAGAAAAAAAAGCATTTGAAGAGGCCAAGCTGGGAATGGTGGGTACATTTTTTAACAACCATTAGATATAATCTTTCACATATACAATATATACAGTGGACACTTTTTTTTTTTTACTATTTGGACATTTAAGCGACAATTTGCAGTATATAACAAAATATAAAAACATGGCATTTTAAACAATGTGGTTATTTAAAAATCATAGCACATGTACACCTGTCAATTAAAACATTATGTTTGTTAGATTTCAAAACATTAAACAATAAATATATTGTTCAAAATGAAGACAAAACATTCTAGGTAATGTTCTGGTTGTAAAATTTTGTGCAACATATTTATAGTAGTTAATATCATGAGCTACACTGGTGGATATTCTGAAAGGACCCTGTGTGTGCATCCTGCATCCATGAAAATATTTTGTATGACATTTTTAAAGGAGTGGTATAATGCCCTTTTCACAAGATGTAAAATAAATCTCTGATGTCCCCAGAGTGTGTATGTGAAGTTTTAGCTCAAAATACCCCACAGATATTTTTATATAGCATGTTAAAGTTGTCACTTTTTGAAGGTTAGCAAAAACGCACCGTTTTGTGTCTGGGCCTTTACATGCAAATGAGCTGCAGCTCCCGACACAGTGGGCGGAGCTTCAAGAGCTCGTGTGTGTGTGTGTGTGTGTGTGTGTGTGTGTGTGTGTGTGTGTGTGTGTGTGTGTGTGTGTGTGTGTGTGTTAGCAGCTCCAATTACCTCACGCAGACACGCCTAAAATGTCAGAAACTGTTCTGCCTTTTATGTTTAAACCGGAGTCAGACAAAGATGGAGAGACTAAGAAGAAGTGACAACATGTAGAATGCAACAGGACTTTTCTGAATGGTTAGTTGATGAATTTATGTTGCTGATGTGGAGTTAACTATCTTCAATTAGCATATTCTGTCAGGATAATCTATAAATCGCTTGTATAGGAACTGTTGTGAGATGCACACAGAGCGACTTTCTATTGCATGTGAAAAGACGGATGCTACAGTTTGAGCTGACTCACAAATGTGCTTGACTACAACAGCTCTTCCTCTTCAGTCTATGTTTTCAACATGGACTGTGTTCCGGGGGCGGGGTTTATGTAAATTTTAGGGTTAGTGATGTCACTAACCCGGGAGGAAGCTCGTGTAGTCCCTATACCAGCCGTTTGTTGTAGTCCTTAAAAAACGATTTCTTTAAAAGCAAATATCTCCCTTTGCTTTGAACTTTGAGAGTTCTAACTTTGCAGATGTTGTTAATGCTCAAACAGCAACATTACACACTAGCTAAAGTTAGAAAAGTGAAATCACAATCAACCACCCCTTTAAGTGTGACTTAAGTGCCCAACAGTGTCCAAACATGAATAATGTATATGAGTGGTAATGTACTGTTTCTCACAGGCCCTGGATGACGAGAACACTGAGGATACACAAGGAGAGAAGGAAGAATTCAGACCTGGTAAACTTCGCCTCAGCTTTGAAGAGCTGGAAAGACAGAGACTGGAAGAGGAACATAAGCGAGTGGAGGAAGAAAGGAAAAGACGCATCAAAGAAGAGAGAGAGGCCTTTGCCGAGGCCAGAAAGAGCATGGTCAGTTTGTGTGCTTGAGAAAGTCATGTTTGTTTGTTTTTTAGCTTTTCATGTACTATGGTAACCATGAAATTCTTTGATAGTAGTGGTAGTTTATATATATATATATATATATATATATATATATATATATATATAGCCTTAGCCTATATAACCTTCTGATACTTTGTTAGGGAGGCCTACACAATATTTAATAGACATAAAATGCTCACTATTATTACAAAAGGTCATAGAAAACGTGTACGACTTATCTGTCTTGAAATAAAACGCCTACGGTCTAAAATCAGACAGAGATAAGGGTTTTGACTTGGCACAGTTGGACATGTAAGCTGGATGCCAGATCAAACTTTACATGTTGACTAACTAATTTTCCCCAAACCTAATCTATTCACTCGCAGGTTGTAAATAGTGACGATGACATCCTTCTGGCCATGATAAACTCAGACGGGGCCAAACCCGGGAAGCTGGCCATCAGCTTTGAGGATCTGGAAAGACAAAGACAAGAAGAGGAGCAGAAAAAGAAAGAAGAGGAGGCCAAGCGACGCCTGGAAGAGGAGAAAAAACTTTTCGCAGAAGCTCGCAAGAACATGGTAGGACCATGCATGTGATGTAACATACTGTATTTGCACATGTACAGTGCGTTTGCATGCACTAATTGATATGACCAACAAAAGTACATCTTAAACAACAACAAAAAGTCCATTAGTGCGCTATATACAGAAAGCTATATAACTGCTGTACTGGTTATTAATAACATAGCATAAACATACTTTATGCTGCATGTTAATTGTAGTGCAATCTACTCATTATATTATATCATCTGAGCACATTTTGTCAGTCAGCTAACAACTGTTAACCAGTGTCAATTTCAATACATTGACCGACTTTAGGTCTCTAATTCAATCTAAATCAATTAATTCACTTGCAAATATAAACACAACACATTTCCAAATCACACAGTGTGCTCAAATGGTATATCTGCTGCAATGCTTGTCTGTTATGCTTTTCAAATTGTGTCTTTAAGAGCCCTGGACTGGATCACGATAATTTGACTGGATATGGAGTTAAAGAAGTAAGAAACTTTTTTAAACAGAAACCGCTATCCTGCTAAAGAGAAGCATTGCCACAATGATTGATTACAAAAAAAGCTGCTAGAAGACAAGAAATAAAATAATGTACCTACTAGTGAGGGCAAAACATTCCAATGAAGCTATAGACAAAATAAACAATTATATTCATGAAAACTATTTGATCAGAAAACAAGTCTTAAAAGGGTCAGGATTCAGAGAAGGGAGGACCCAGACACAGAATGAGCGGGGAGTGATATTTATTAACAAAGACAAAACACAGGCAGGAACAGTCCAGGCAATAGGGCAGGAGAACAGGCTGGTCAGGGATGAGACAACTCCAGGCTCTATGGCAACGGTGGAAACTTGACAGCAGCCCAAAAAAATAAATAGATTATTTGGCAAAAAAAAAAAAAAGTCAAGAGGAAAAAAAAAAAAAAACAAGGATAGAGAGACCTAGAATAAAAATAAATAAAGACTAGAACTAGACTAAAAACACAGAAACAAAGAAAAACTAGAATTTAACAAAAAGGAAATAACCAAACAAGGAAACCTAAATCTAGCACTGACTGACAATATCTGCGAGAACTGCATACACACAATGAACGTACACAACCAACCAGCAAAGACATGAGGGGAAAGAGACACAATATAAAGGGAACAGCACATGAGGATCAGGAGAAAACAATCAAGCAAACTAGGACTAGACAAGGACTAAACAATTGTTTAAGGGGGCGTGGTAATGGGAAACAAGGAGGCGGAACAAGAGCAGCACATGGCAAACACAAACAAAGACAAAGCCATGTGCTGACACACAACACAAACATAGAGACATGAAACAAAGATAACACAGACAAGGCTGCCAGGGCAGAACCCTGACCTAAAGGGTCATATCATTCATTTCAATTTAGTGTTTTCCCTCCCCTTGAGTTTACAGTATTAGTCAAGAGGATGTTTAATGTTAATGTCTTTTTGGGCTAGGGAAGACATCTGGACTTATGAATGTTATTGCTTGTTTTTATAAAACAATGAACTGTTTTATATCAAAAGATTAAAAAATCTAAATTTGATTCCTCATGATATGACACCTTTGAATATCTTTACTAATGTGCTTTGTTTAAAGGATATTTTTTTTTAAATGTGGTAAGAAAAAAAGATATCAATATATGATTCTACACAATGTAGTAAATAGGAATATTCTAAAGTTTTAAGTACTAGTACAAAACAGAATTATGGGGTCCAGATCTTAACACTGTTCAAACATGGCTGCCTATGAGAGTCTTTTCTCGCATAACAAGTCACAAACTGTGATAATTTTAGCTCTTTTTACACTTGGCACTGTTTTGATGTTTTAACTGATTTTGTCTATTAAATAACAAGGTTGTGTGCCATTTAGAATTGAATTGAAACAGACAGACAGATTAGGGAGGAAGGACACTTAATTTCCTAGAATGCATTACCTATTCCAATTCAACTATAGTGGGATTTGGATTCAATTCAAAGAAAAACAGTGGCTGCATCCGAAATCACATACTTCCGTACTATATTCTGAAGTATACGAGATTCTGAAGTGTGCATACGATGGACACTTTACTATCCCATGAGGCCACTGGAAAGGATTTGTGAATGTCAGTGAAGCGATGTAACTCACGCGGGTAGGTCACATGATAATGACATGACAGCATGGCGAATGTAGTCCGATTACATTCATACTACATACTACATTATATAGAACATATTTTTTGCGGTCATGAAGTAATTACTTATTCAGAATAAGTCCTATTCAAGAGAGTATGAGATTTCAGACGCAGCCACTCATTACTAGCACAAGATGTATAAAAATATATGTCCATAAGGAATTGAATATCAATTGAGATGTGTATCTCATTTTTGTGACAGGTGCAGGATGATGATGGAACTCTGGTGCGGACAGAGTCGCAGGAAGCAATGCACCCAGGGAAACTAGAAATCAACTTTGAGGAGATGCTGAAAATGAAAGAGGAGGCAGAGCGGAAGCGCAAGGCGGAGGCCAGACGCCAGAAGATGGAGATGGAGAAGAAAGAGTTTGAACAGTTGCGACAAGAGATGAGCGAGGTCAGCTTCACATGCTACTGAAATGATCATTAAATTTACAATTTCATAACATGTTTGCTTATTTACATATGTTTTGGGTTTGATTTAGGATGAGATCAATGAAAGCTCGGAGGTGGTGAGCACTGAGTACGAGGAGCTAACAAAGCTGAAGCGGACTGGCTCCATCCGCGCCAAAAGCCTGAAATCCAAGTTCGAGAAGATCAAGCAGCTCACAGAGGAGGAGATCCAGAAGAAGATCGAGGAGGAACGTGCAAGAAGGAAAGAAATTGACGAGAAAATCAAGGAGAGAGAGGCAGAGCGCTGTCAGGAGGTGAAAGAACGAGGCAATTTCTCATGTTTCATTCCAGCTAAAGAACTTTGAAGTGAAGAATTTTGCTCATTTCTTCCACAGGATGAAGATGAGGACAAAACAACTCCAATTAAACCAGAAGACGTCCCGTTCAGACAGAAAGTGGACATGCGAGCACGGTTCGAGCAAATGGCAAAGACCAGAGAAGAGGAGCAGAAGAAGAAGATCGAAGAGCAGAAATTGCAAAGGATGCAGTTTGAACAACAGGAAATTGACGCTGCTCTCCAAAAAGTAAACCTCTCCTGGGCTGCTCTGTTTCAGAACTAAATGGCGGACATGCCTGGATCTGATGTCAACACTAATGCATGACAGAGCTGCATGCGTGTGATTTCTGTTGTGTTTTTGTTTTTTTCGAGTGTGAAACACTTTGTCATGTGTCTTGTCAGAAAAGGGAAGAAGAGGAGGAGGAAGAGGGTAGCATCATTAACGGCTCCGCCGCCTACGAGGATGAAGAGGACCATGCCAGGTCAGGCGCTCCGTGGTTTAAAAAGCCCCTGAAGAACCAGTCGGTGGTTGACGCAGAGCCTGTGCGGTTCACAGTGAAGATCACGGGAGAACCCAAACCAGAGGTCACCTGGTGGTTTGAGGGTGAGCTGCTGCCGGACTCTGAAGACTATCAATACATCGAGAGAGGCGAAACCTACTGCCTGTACCTGCCGGAAACGTTCCCCGAGGACGAAGGAGAGTACATGTGCAAAGCCGTCAACAGCCGAGGCACTGCCGCCAGCACCTGCATTCTCACGATTGAAAGTAAGCCGCCTCCTGTCTCTGCTAACCGCCTGCATGCTGAGATTTCTTATGGCGTCACTAAACTCAAACGGATCGCATGCTCCACTTCCACTCGGTTCTTCTTCCTCTTGTTAATCAAACTGTGTCTCCCTGTCTTTCTCTTTCCAGCTGAGGACTACTGATGCTCTCCTTCTCTGGAACTTTCCCAGACTTTTCTTTTTTTCTTTTATAAAAGTTCATTTCTCACGGTAGGGCCAAAAACCGAGGAGGAAGGAGTGGTATTATTTTTTTTTTCCATTCCTCCTGAAGATATGCTCAATGATGAAGTGCAATCTGTTGTTTACATTAGATGCTGCACTCACAGTTAACAAAACAAAAAACTCCATATCTGGGATGAATTTGTGCCAAAACACAGATACTGTTCCCATGATCTTCTAGAATAAATACATAGCGTAGCTGAAAAAGAAATCTAGTTAATTAAATATATTTTAGTTCAACATATACCCACTATATGACTCTGAGGAAGGATTTCATACCCATGTCACCGAATGAATGAGACGTTACTTGAGAGTTTGATTCAGTATCTGTAAAGGGGACAGTGGTTGCATTTTCTTTGTTAAATTCCTGTAAGTACCTCTGTTCAGGCTCAGATGTTTTTTTCCACTTTTTCCCATGTTCTCATGGAGCTTTCATAACCCCAGATGTTTCTATGTTAAAGTGTAGTGAGTAAATGAAATGTATAAACAGTGTATGTAGGTTAGCAAGAGGTGATTTTAAGTTTTAGGCAGAGTATTTGTGTAATGTATAAAATTATAATAAAATTAATGAAACGTGTTGTTGGCTGATTTCATAAACTTTATTTACATTTTAGGAGACGTGGCCAGGTGGATTCATCTGATTACAGTTTGATATAGAATAGAGTGCTAGATAGATTGCCTGTAAATATGCCATTCTTTGGTTTAATGCAAATTGGTACGAAACCTTTCCTAATTTGAATGTATAACTAAATGGAATTGAAATTCGACAAAAATCATACTGTTTTCAAGACTGCTGCACAGAAATATTTTAGAAAATATATAAAAAAGTCTTTAAAAAGCTTGAAGGCCGTACAAGCCTAAATGACAGAATAACAGACAAAATAGACAATAGAATAGAAATAGAAATAAAAATCGGAAAGCTCTAGTTCAAGTGCCATTTTGCAATAGACAAAGATTATTATGAAGTGTCACTGGCAAATAATTTTGCCTTTCTCATAACAGACCACTCTTCTCCTCAACCAGCTCAAATATGGATAAATATTTGATTTTATGTCAACGAACAAGACTTCATTACTCGTTCTGCAAGACATATTCGGTGTATTTTTCATAAATCAACTTATTTCAGGCCATATGTGACACAACTTAGAGAGCTATTCTGATTATATAGCAAAACAACAGTAAACATTAAGATAGATCTTGATGGTTTATTATTCAAAAGTATTCATAGAACTGTACAACAGTAGCTAGTCTTCGACATACCTCTCAACAGAGCAGGAAACCTTCCAAACTTACCGCAACAGATTTTGTACTCGGCTTTATGCACAGCTTCACTACTTCCTGAACTTCAGCCAGCTGCTTTGTTTCCTGTCTGCCATTATTGGACAAACTGATTAATCCAGGTGTGCCTGGCCTCAGTAACAATAATCAGGCACACCTGGATTAATCAGTTTGTCCAATAATGGCAGACAGGAAACAAAGGAGCTAGCTGAAGTTCAGGAAGTAGTGAAGCTGTGCATAAAGCCTATTCTGTGCAATCTCAAAAACATTTTAAAAAAATAATTCCTTCTTTGCAAACTGTATCAAAGTAATACATGTTGCATCCGCAAGGAGGCGCAGCTGCGTCATTAATCCGCGCACGCAGAACAGCACGCTCTATCAACAACGTTCTTGGGTAACTATAGCAACCAGGCGAAAAGCTAGACCGCTAGCTAGCAAGCATCGTCAACTCTCCTTACCTTATTTTATCCCCCAAACAAATCACTAACCTTTAAAATACCATGCTGAAAATGCACTAACGGTGTGTAAATCAAAATATGTCGTATGTCGACCAACAATATTTGAGGTGTTTGAAGTTTGGGGCTGTTTACACCGAAGAAGCCAACTTGCTATCTCAGTCCCATATTTGTTACCGCTGTGTTATTGTGATCCATGATGGGCAAAGATGTAGAGGAGGTGTCCGCGTCTCTAGTACGGGAATATCTCAGTCGAAAGGTGGGTGACAGATTATTTTCTTTCACCTGATTCAGAAATGTAAACATGGTAACGTTACTTTGACACAAAAGCTAACTATCCTATAGTATAACGTTACCTCTCAAAGCAGCAGCAAGAGATCTTTTAAAAACATATTTACCTGGTGTGATGTACATACTGTATGTTTAAGGTGTTTTAAAGGTAGCTTTCCTGAAAGAATGATGAAATGGAAGTACATTTCCCGATGAAATGTACTTAACTTACAGGGCCTGAAGAAAACGATAGCGTGCATGGATGAAGAGCTTCCACGGACTAATTCAAGCGTTAATAACAGATCAGATCTGCGCAGAATACTTCACCTTGAGGGCCTTTACAAACAAAATAAGGTATCAAAGAAAAAAAAAAACATCTGTATATATCATATTAAGAATGTTGGAAAAGCAGAGTGGCCATAAAAAGCATTTGTATTTAGGCTGAAGAACATCCCTTTAAGTCTATGTTGGAGATGATTGTGAAAGTTAGAATGAGTGAAGGTGACAAAACCAAAATACGCCACCATGGAGACAATGAAGCACATCCACTGGAAAAAACCATGTCCGTAGACATGACTGTTAAGAGAGAACCAGATTCTATGGAAAGTCTGTTGTGTGAAAGTCCAAGGTATTTCTTTATTGATTTAGTTTACAAAAATCCATATATTCATTTGTTTGAGACTTTCAAGATCTGTTGACAGCAATAAACATCCACCCTTTTCACAGGTTCTCTGAAAGCAACAGTGTGTCACAGCTTATTATTAAGCCTTCCCAAACACCTTCTGAAAAGACACTAAAAAAGAGCTTTGCTGTTCACCCTGAGAGTGAGAGAAGTGTATACTGTTTGCCGTCCAGCCATGATCTCCCTACAGTGTCGAAAGAGGGATTTCTTTCTGAGAAAAAGATCCTAGACACTGATAGCCAGAAAAACAGAAGCAGCAGGATAAGACGAGGCATTATGGCGGGTCCCATTGCCAGCTCTTTGCAGGTAATGAATGCTGATTCATTAAAGGCATAGTTCACCCAGAAATTAAAATTCTGTCTTCATGTCGTTGCAAACCCGTAAGACTTTTGTTCATCTTCGGAACACAAATGAAGATCTTTTTGATGAAATCTGAGAGATTTCTGTCCCTCTGTTGACAGCAACGCAACACTTTGGCACTTCAAAAAGTTCATAAAGAGATCGTAAAGCTAATCCATATGAATTGAGCGGTTTAGTACAAATTTTCTGAAGAGACTTGATCGCTTTATATGATGAACAGATTGATTTGGGCTTTTATTCACATAAAACGAAAGTCTTATGGGTTTGGAACGACATGAGGGTGAGTAATTGATGAAATAATTTTTATTTTTGGGTGAACTATCCCTTTAAACTAAAATTAATTTATTGAAAATTAAAATACAGTGTTTAATAATGTTACATATTTATTTTAGTAATTTTACTAAGATTTGATTCTACGTTACTCCTCCATTACAGCATTGCATTTACAAGGATTTAATTTTCCGTAGGAGAGTAACAGAAGACGTCCAGCCCGAAAAGCACCTTCATCTCTTACAGCAACAACAGAGGATTGTAGAGAATCAGCAAACTGGACAAATGGCCTCAATACTACAAATACAAAGTCTAACCCACCAGCCTCTCTTGGAGGGGAGAGCAGCATGCTTTCTAATTTACATAAAGGAATCATAGACCACAATGGGTTTGAGAAAATGCCGGAAGTCAAGCATCGCTTGTGAGTTTGTTTCAATCATTCGGGGAAAAAAACCTCTTACATATTTTTGTCTCGTTTTCCAGTTCAAATATCTAAGCATTCTTAAATCAAGATAGATTTACTTGACAAGCAAAATTACTTAATATTATAATATTCTATTTTTCATATAATATAATATTTTTATAAGAATGACTATTATATTAATTCTTGTTTTCTGAAAAATCTATCAAAATTAAGTGAGTTTATGCATAAAATTAAAAGCCAACGGGGTAAGAAAGATAACCTTAATTCAAAGTGAAAACAGGATTGTTTTTCTTATTTTTTCTTGTTTAAAGCAAAATCTCACTTAATTTTGATTGGTTTCTGAAAAATGTATGTCATTTTGCTCCTCGGGAACCTTAAATGTATGTTTTAGATATTTGGACCGGAAAACAAGATACGGATAAAAATACTGAGCTAGAATATTGAAAGTGCAGTTACTTAAACTGTGTCTGAGAAACCTACTCTCAATATTTTATGTCAACCTTCATTGATTTAAAAATGTCAAAATCGTTTTACTTTTGAAGGGCTAAAATAGTTATACCATTTGAATCCCAGAAACATTGAGAGGACCATAACTAGTGAGGTGAAAGGTTGGAACCGTTCTAGGGGCCGACAGGTCCAGGGGGACCCACAACCTTTTCTGAATGCTATATTTAAAAAGGGGCCCAGAACTTCTAACCACAGCCTTGAACGTATGCATGATTATTATGAATAAAATCTCTTATGGATTAGACAATATGGCTCTAAGAAGCTCCCATTTAGGATGGTAAAAAGAGACTGTTGATATTTATTCACAGCTGCAATATGTCAAGTGTGTGATTATTAACTTTTGTTGTTTCCTCTCCAGAAAGAATTTGGCACCCGGCCCCAAACTGGATGGACTCCATGTGTTGGAAATGGTTTTGGGTAGTGCACCTCAAATCTTCAGCAGATTACATTTTGTATCATAGCCAAGTCAACCACAGAATACACTAGCTTGTATTGTTGTATTGCTTTAATATGAGTGTATTTTGTCCTCATCAAATATTTGTATAGTTGTCCACTTTTAATATTTGTTTTCCTAATAACCCTACATTTTTCACCCTACAACCCCACTCAAATTTGCTTTAAATCAATCTGTCATTAAAAATTCCATTGTTTTGAAATTCTTTTTCAATCTTACAGACGACATAGAGAATGAGGAGAGCTTGTGTGATGTTCCTAGAACATCCATGCCAGAACGTAGTTTGGACAAGACTCCCATGGACCAGATGACAGCCACTGTAAGCACATTATCATTTATCTTCCTGGAACCATAATCTATGTGATATCAATCCAGGCTGATATGATATCGCTGTTTTCATGTCTACTTCAGGCTCTGAAGGAGATCATCTTTGGTTCTCCTATGGCTTGCTTCACTGAAGAGTGGAAACAACAGAACTTTACCTTTTCAGATACTCCAGGTTTGAAGTATGGGATTGTACAAAACAAGGTACAGTACTTTAGACAACCTCATGATTTACTGTTTTGATCTGTAAACCTTTGCCTCATGAGATGTTCTGGGAATGTTTTATCAGGGAGGACCCTGTGGTGTCCTTGCAGCAGTTCAGGCTTGTGTTCTACAGAAGCTTCTGTTTGAAGAATCGAGCAGTGACTCATTGGATGAGTGTGTATCAAGCATCAGTCATATTTTTTTTTATTTTTTTTTTTTACCTTTATTATTTTAAAACCATTCAATCAATTTGGGACCATTTTTCCTTTGGATTTTTTTATTTGTATCAGTGAATATTTTGGTTATAAATTATACAATTTGTATTTCACTGATGTCTTAATCAGTTGTCTTAAACTTGATTTGGTAAATATCACCAGGAGACTGGAGGTATCAAACGTTTTGAGGACAAAATGTCTATCTCGGGCTTTGGCTGACATACTATGGAGAGCCGGGAATATGAAGAGAGCCACAGTTGCAATGTAAGTGTCACACATTTAGAATTATCACTTACATTTACAAAACTATTTTTCATTTCTCAACTTTAAAGTATCTGCCCCCACAGAAACACAGGAAGAAGTCTTTTCATCCCGATCGGACGTTACAAATCAGACGGTATTCTGGAAATGGTAAGTTGATTCTTTGTCCCTTAAATTTCCTCCTAATTACTTCTTTTGACGACTACATATTTCTCTTTTGTTAATGTTTTTTTATATATATATATTCCACATAGATAACATACGTCACTGTTGAGACGTTGGATGATCTCACTTTAGTTCTTGAGAAGCATGTTAGACAGGTAAGTCTGTGATGAAATGCCTTATGATGAATCCTGTATACCTGTATGTATTTAAAAAAAAAAAAAATATATATATATAAATATTATTAATATTAATTATTATTTACACTATTGTTATATATTATTTCTATTTTGTTATAATTTATAATATGTATAATAATAGTTGTTGACAATATTTATTTAGAAGAACATTGTTATTATAGATGTATTATTTATATTTTATATTATTTATGTTTATTATTATTTATAAATAAGCAAGGTTTGTATGTGAGCACATCCATTAATAGTCTTGAAGCTTTTTAAGGCAAATATCACCTGTTTAATAGCTCCTTGCTTCCTTTTAGTTTGAGTCTGGTCCCTTTGGCTGTATTCTACTTACCATCTCTGCAATTCTTTGCAGAACTACTGCAACGTGAGTTTCCACCTCTTTAACTCAGTACAGACTGTTTATGTTCATATATTCACTGAGCTAATCAATGTGTTCTTTGTGTTTTAGTATACAAAGTGATATGGATGTGCCCACCTCCACCCTCATTGGAGCTCATGGCTACTGCACACAGGTTTGCTGTGTTAACACTTTACAGTCCTAATCTAAACACCCAATACACAAAAGATAGCATATTTTATTTTGCTCTTACAAAAAACAATGTCTTGTTTTCACCAATTATATTGGTTGCTTTTTGTATAGCTCCAGTGTAAACAGTGTTCTGATATGATTAAGTCATTAAATCTTATAATTTCCCTTTCATTTTTTAAGGAATTGGTCAATCTTTTGCTTTGTGGACGGGCAGTTTCAAACGTCTTTGATGATGAAATGAAGCTTGATTCTGGAAATGGAAATTTTACACTTCTTAAGGGAATTAAAGCACGCTGTAACATTGGGCTGCTGTCTTTATTTGAGCACTATAATATATGTAAGGTAAGAAGGCTTGAAACACTCTAAAATATCCTTAGATATTATATCCAAATGTGTTATATCCCAATTTCTCTCTTTTTCAAGGTTGGATCTTACCTGAAAACTCCCAAGTTTCCAATTTGGGTAGTGTGCAGCGAGAGCCATTTCAGTGTGCTCTTTTGTCCCTCTGAAGACCTGGCAACCGATCACTGCAAAGAGGAAGAGTTTGACTTGTACTATTATGATGGACTGGCCAACCAGCAGGAACCAATTAGATTAACAGTCTGTGAGTCTTTTCCTTTGGGTCATTGCTTTTCTGGACACACACACATAAAAACAAACACTGATTGTATTATGCATAGTATTTGAAAACAACAAAATAAACACAAGCTTTGCACACTTGCTTCATAATTAGGGTTTATGATAAGTCAGTTTTAAAAGGTCTTCTGTATTCTGTGTCTGGACAGATTCAGAGTCTTGTGGCGCAGAGTCTGCTCAGAGTGACAACGCAGACAGTGATCTCATTCCTCCACTGGAGCTTTGCATCAGGACCAAGTAAGTCTCTTATTTCGTCAGTGCTTTTTCTATAATATGTCATTTTGATATTGTGAAATGCAAACATGTGGCGATATGAATGCTTCAAATATGTTTTACAGATGGCGAAATGCAGTGGTCAGCTGGAATGATACAGATCCCATTCTTTGATATTGCATGCAAAAAGAGATTTTTCTTTGTTAGCCCTGTGTGACCCCGGTATGATTTTATCTGGTGTAAATTTTCATTAGGTTTTATATTTAAAAATGCATGAGTTTAGTATTTCTTTTGTCTTTTATGATGAGCTTTTTTGCTGCCATTCTTAATATCCTTAATATTATTTTCATCATTCTGCTGCTTTTTCTTACTTTATGTTTTGTGTTGTTGTATGTGAATACAGAAGTATAAACACAGACGTATATTTATAAGACAAATGCCTTACTCCAGGGGTATAGATCAACACATTCTCAATATTGTCAATCAATATTATATAAAACATTTCTTGTTTGCTGCCCCCCTCCCCAATTTAAACCAAGATCTATGCCCCTGTTCTCTCTTGCTCATTTTATACAATTGTTTGCAATTACTTTATCTTTCACAATGTCACTTTAACAGTATAACATTAAGAACTGTCATTACTTTTTTTCTTATTCAAATCATGATTAAATTAACTGTAATAAAGAATATGGCTTGTGATGTGTAAATACTTGTCATTGCTCACTGATAGTTTATCCAAATATGAAAATTCTGACATCATTTAATTACCTTAATTTCCGTCTGTGGAACACAAAAGAAGATATTTTGAAAAATGTTGGTAACCAAACAGTTTTAGTGACCATTGATTTAATTTTTGTTTGAACTATATATTTAACTTTGTGCAAGAAAGATTTATGAAGAGAATATAAACGTTGTCATTTTGGGCAAAGAATGCTTTTGTTTCAGTTGTCCCAATGGGAGGAAACATGACTAGGGTTCCGCATGGTGATACTGTCAAAAGAAATGCATTTAAAATATTGAATCCGCTCTGAACGGGATCTGAAACCAATGGCACACGTGGCAGGATAATTACTGGCACGTGACAATAGCTAAAGAGTTGTATGTATTTAATTTAAATAAAGTCCCTTGAACTTGCATAACAATTTCTCATAGTGACACAGCTTGTTTTAAGTTACTATGAATATAATAAAGTGTGAGATTTTAACCTGAGCAAGTACGCAGATCCGAAAACCCGTTCACGCGACCGGAGGTGAGCTTCTGTGATTATCCCTCCGCATGCCATAAGGTTGCCGACCCATCTCTTAAAGGGGTCCTATTATGTTTTTTTATTTTTTACATTTTTTTAGCGTAATGTTGCTGTTTGAGTTTGAATTTGCAAAGTTACAAAGATTTGCAAAGTTACAAAGAAAGCACAAAGTCCACTCCAAAGGGAGTTATTCTCTGTATCACTAAGCACTGTTTCTGGACTACCTGAACATTGTAGTCTTGAGTTTTCTTCCAAGAACATACATGGCTGCATCCGAAATCACATACTTTCCTACTATACAATAGGCCTATGTGAAAAACAATATGTGGCAAAAGTATGCCCGAATTCACAGTACTCATAAAAGAGTAGGCAAAAAGTACCAGCATGACCTTCTACTTCCGGCGGGATTCTAAAGTGTGCGAACAATAGACATTTTAATGACCCATGAGGCCATGGGAGAGATTTTGTGAATGGCAGTGAAGCTGATGCTGGTCACAAATGATAATGACATGTCATCATTATGTCATTAAGTATGTCCGGATTATTCATACTACACACATTCATACTGTATAACGTACATTTTTATCAGTTGTGAAGTAATTTCTTAATCAAAATAAGTACTTACTCAAGAGAGTTTAACATAATTCCCGCTCAAGGCATGCACAAAAAAAGGGGGCGAGGCCTGGTTGTGTTGAAAGTTGGAGTTATGGTAAGGGATGTGGAATTTCCAAAACAGACTCGAAGCAGTTGACCAATCACAACACAATGGTCCAGCAGACTAATCAGAGCACAGTACGCTTTTTGGAAGGAGGGGCTTCATTGAGACTGGAACTAAACAAAGTGTTACTGAAAGACTTGGAAGAGAGGTGCTGCAACAATGTAAAATATGTGCAAAATAATGTTTTTTTAAACATTTAAGCATGAAAACCTCTCATAATAGACCCCAAAAATAAAATCAACACTTTTAAGAAAAGAGCATAATAGGTCTCCTTTAAGAGCTATATTTGTTCTGTTTACTCTCTACATGTTTGATCATTTATTATTAACATGGAACTTCTGGTGTAGTATTTCTGTCCTATAGTAAGGTTATCTTGTGCATACTCGGTTTGTTGTTATTTAGGAGTATAATTCTTCATACAGAAAAGCAGCTGTCTTCAAATGTTACCATTTTATGGAATGATCGCAGCCCTGTAGCAACAAACTGGACTGAACAACAGTAATTTGTGCATTATGCATGACAAAGCATAGGCTATAACCTTCATTAGCTGATGACTGCTGTAATTCACGTTACAAGATGTTTGCTTGATCATTTATCATATTTGTCAATACAAGTCAATACAAAAACAATCAAAGTCTTCGTGGTTCCCTAGGAATGCAACACAGAGGTTTATTTGAAAACCTGTAAAAACATATTGAAGCAGTTGATGAACCACATGGAGTTATTGCATATACTGAAGGCCAAAATAATTAAGCCTTTTTCCTGTAAAGACTTCATATGGCACACACTGAAAGCTGAGCACAAAAATATCACCTTTTCCACCAAAATGCCTTCTGATTAGTGCTACTTTTGGCTGAACCTCTTAGGATGTTATTTAGCCACTGCCAGTGCCAAAGCCCTGAAGAGAACTGTTAGTCAGAGTATCTCTGATCTTTGCTCTGCCGGAGACCACAATTGTGGAACTGACCTGAACCCCAGCGCTCACTTTGGGTATCATAGTTGGATTGGGTGTGGGATTGAGGTTAAAGAATGGCTGAACTATGAACTGATTTTGTGAGTTTTGATGCTGTATCCCTGGAATTTGAGATAGGCCAATGCTTAGCATAGTAGAACTCTTGGACTGATAACACAAATGAAAATATTACATTGATTTTCCACCAATCAAGCTATTATTGCAACACAAGCATCTCAGATCTTATAAACGAACATGCATTTGATAGGAAGTAGCCTATTTGGCCTGGCAAAAGTTTATAATACTTTTAAAACATCTGACTCTGATCACTAACTCATTTACTTTGATCTGTCTTTTCCTTCCTCATAGCTAAATTGCATCACTCCATACCAAAATATTGCTGTGGAACATATGATTACTTTCCATCCCACAGCTGAAAGTGAACTGAAATAAGTGTAAATATCATATTCCAATTTTTCTGTTATAAATGAAATTCATAAACAGCCATGTTTGAAGGACCAATTTAGTGTTCTTCACTAACTGACAGCCAAACTTAAAGGTACAATATGTAAGATTTTTGTAATAAAATATTCAAAAATCACTTGTGATATATTTCCTGCAGTTGCGTACTTACAATATCCCAAAAGTTCCCAAAGAATTTTTAATTTCAGAGAAATTCCAATTTAAAATAATGGCTCATCCCATTGTCGCCTGTCAATGACGTAATATCCTTGTTATCCCTGGTTTCCGCTTGTACTGCCATAGTAACCATGGCGATAGACGTGGACAACTGCGTTAAGTCCTATGGTTAAGTCTAGCGGCACGCTCACGCTGTTGTTGTTTCGGTCAAACATTATGGACCGTGGCAAGCAGACTTTGGGACAAAAGAATAACTAAAACGAGGATCAATATCAGCGTGGCGTTTTAGAGATGCCGAGAGCTCCACGTCCGCGACTAACTTCGACTTGACAGATCTTCACGAGTCACGACTTGACAGAGTACGCTCTTGCATGTACTTTATTAGACAGGTAAGCAAATGTACAACTAATCAATGTTATATAGTTTAACATGATGAAATGTTAGAATATGATCAGTATGTTATTCTAATGTTGATCTAGCTTACTGCGTCATACAGCCAAACAAACTAGAATAACATTATAACTTTCAACACACTCAAATACAGTTTAGTGTGATAGTGTACCTCACAAGTTTAATTCGTCTAATAAACTGACTTGTGTGAGTAGTAATTCAGCACTTGCGGGTAGTTCGGTAGAATGAAATGTCCATATCCGCGGGACTCGTGTGTGACGCGAATCACGCGATAGCTCCATCAGCATGACGACATGTTCCATAATTCCGCTTATGCGTCATCAACCTACCCCTTTGTTATTGTAAAAAGGTTAGCGATCCCTAGCGGCGAAAAAACCCCCCATAATGTAGCTTTAAAGGGTCATGAAACCCCCCTCTATCAGCTCAAGTCTAGCTCATAATCTTTTTGAAAAATGCAACTTAAATGGGCGTGGATGGCTGTGAGAAGAAGGGAGGGAGTGGGTGGGGCACGGCAGGGGAGAGGGGGAACTGTCATCAGCAGTGTTGGGCAGTAACGCGTTACTAGTAACGCGTTACTGTAACGCAGTTACTTTTGACAGTAACTAATACTGTAACGCATTACTTTTTAAATAAATTAACTCCGTTACCGTTACCATATGGCGCGTTGTCCGTTACTTTTTTAAATTAATTAGTTGCTGGAGGGGCTGAGAAGTGTGCGCTGTCATTACACAGTACGAGAGCACTGAAGAGACTGCTAGCATTATACAGAGCGAGAGGACACCTGAGGACACATAACAAACTCACTGGCTGAGTTGTTTACGTACACGTGAGGCAGCGCGAGGCGCGAGCACGGAGATTACAAGCTGCACGGAGAGCGCTGAGCACTTGATGCGCATTTAAAACACAGACAGCGAAACGGTATGAATACAGAACACTTAAGTACACATTGCCATATCATTATAAAATAATAAATTTTTTGACTAGATGCTGCATCAGCAGAGAAAGAACAGAAGCTTGCCGTCGAGTCTGAGAGGAATAACATTAGTAACGGCTAACTTACCTCAAGCGATTAAAGCAATGTGACAAAAACACACGCAGACCTGACCCACATGTTTTATGTCGCAATTGTTACCATCTATTTGCATTAGTTTATGTCCAGCTGGTCACTTTTATGTATTCATTAGCCGGCGAAGTTGTATTTTTAAAACTAGTGACGTGATTGATTGCTTACATTGATGTGTTCATGCAGCCGACATCAAGTCTAATCAAGTGTTCTAAAATTTAAGCAAATAAAGTGAAAGACTGTACATGTAATATAGGTCTACATTTATGTAATTTTAATGCTCTGGCCTTTGCAGATATTTAAATATGGCCATCTTCTTTAAGCTTGAATCATATAAATGGCAACACTTTACAATAAGATAACAATTTTAGCATTAAATATGGTTAATAAATGTTGTAGAAGTATCATTCATTGTTAGATGTATTTGTATCTCCTTAGTTAATGTAGGCCTACTATGAACTAACAAGAATGATCAAGGTACAATTGTATTGCTCAAATATTAATTCATGCAGTAAAAACCACAGTGGTAAAAACGTATAGGCCTACTGTCAGCTGCATGAACATATCAATGTTGAGAAAGCAAACAAGTCACTAGCTTTAAAAATGCTTGTTTTGTTATTTATTTCAGAAATCCTTGATATATTCAGTTTGTGCTGGT